CCTAGGCATCTGGCAGCATTCTGTAGCATTCTTTCAGACCTCTGTTTTAAGGAATCCTAAGAGGAAAGTTAACTGAGAGCTGGCAACAACTAACAAAAAGGAAAATGTAATTATGAAAAATTATCATACTGATTTAAAGAAGTGGGATAGAGCTAATTAAGAAGTAGGAACAAGAGGGTGTGTACAGCAGAATGCCCAATAGTGTGGCTGTGCTCAGAGAGGGGGTTAAATCTAGAACAGAGCAAGCCTGAGCTCTTCGAGCCCATAGAGGAGCACAGTGGAAAACAGCTTGTGATGTTTTCCAGATTAATTTGTTCCTTCCAGCAGGGGGAACAAACAGCAGTAAGTCTATAGGTAGACTGGCTGAGAATTAAAACTCTCAATTACTGTATGTCAGCATGAAGAACTGAGAGGATTCAGTGCATAGAACTCTTCTTCAGACAGAGCACTTGATTTCTGTTCACTGTTGTTTCTCTTGAAGATTGGCTTCTCTTCAAAGACACTGGGACAAGAGCAAAAACTGATTTATTAAGAAAAAGAAATCTCTATCAATATTTACAGTCCTCCGGCCAGATGTATCTCAAGGCAAACTGTCAACAGGAGATAATTGTTGCTTTATCAGATTATGCTGACATAAAATTATACAACACAAAACTGAGCTTTGTACTTCTATGGCTAACAAAAACTTAAGTGCTTTAATCTCAATTTACAGCATTAAATGGTTTAGCCCCACAATACAGATTAAATACATAAGTAATATTTGAGTGAATCAAGTGTAAGAATAACTGAATCAAATTCAGGAAACCAGAGAATTATAGTAATTAATCTATCCAGAGAGCAACTTTTATACATGAATTTGTAGATTGTACTAGGAGCTGGTCTTGTGTTCCTGTGTGCTCTGATTATAAATGAACACCAGGGATAAGGCGTTTGGCTCCACTTTCCAGCCCCTTGCAAGCCCCAGGCCATGCTCTCCACAGTTTCTCATTCACTGGTGAGTTACTTTGCTTACTTTGCTCCTGGGTCCATGCAGCCCATCCAGCACCCTCCTCTACCTTCCCCCCAGGGACTCTTCAGAAAACAAAACTATGCATCCCCATGCTGCTTTGTGCTGTCTGCAGGGAACTGAAAAACACTTTCTCTTCCTTCAACACTTTCCTTATGACTGTCTTGTTGCCGTGGTGGTAAAAGAAAAACTTGGTAACCAACAGACTGTGGATTTGATGAAGCTACTGCCAGTATGCTGTTTGTAGTTACCAAACTTGGGCCTTCCGCTCCATCTCCGCGTGTCTTGTCTGAAAAGCAGATTGTCAGCTACTGGAGGCAGGAACTGTGAGCAGAGCTGTCGGGCTCTGAGGTACCTCACCAAAATGAGAGAGCTGCTCGCAGATGAGCCCCAGGGACTGAGCAGCAGCTACAGAAAATCAGGGATACAGGCAGTTAAGCTTAAGTGTCTATCAAAGCAGCAGAGATGTAAGGGACCTGGCCAGGCTCTGCCCCGTGGACAGCGGTATGAGAAATCAGTGCTGAGAGTCTACCATGTTTTTTCCCCTTGTGGATTGTCTCACCACAGACTGGCCTGTAAGTGGTTTTTGCTGAACTGCAGCTGCTTGCACGTGTGTTAGATGTAGATCAAGGCTACACTGGTAGCTGCAGGAACAGCCTTCTGGGGTATCTTACCTTGTTCTTCCCACATGGGCATTTCTCCTTCCCCTCCTTCTGCATGCATGTTCCCAGGAGCAGAGAGCTGGTTCTTTTTTGGGGGTCTCTGGAAGCTGCTGCTTTGGTTACAGGTAGTTGGGACAGTTAAGTAGTTTGGATTGCTGGCTTCTGCTTTAGCCCACAGCTTGCTCTGTTGGTGGGTGGTAAAGCAGCTTCTGTCCATTCCATTTAAGCTGCAGGAGTCATTCAGATGAGCTCTGTAGCCTATGACCATCTCTTTTGTAGTTACTGGGAAGGGGGAGGCAAGGTTCCTCTTGATTTTTTTACTTGAGCACCCCATTTCAGGCAGGCAGGGTGAGTCCGGAGTGGATCTCTGCAGCCTCCACAGCTCAGCCATTGCTCTGGGTGTTGGAGCTTTGAGCTGAATATGTGACAAGGAGTCGGTGCCTCTCCACTTGCTGTTAGTCAGCATGAAATCCAAGGGGTGTTGTTTCTGTTGTGGGTATGTTGAATTGGCTTAACTGAATCATCTTTATTCACTCTTCCTAGCAAATAGGAACCAGACATTAATGAAATGAGAAATTATGATAAATATTAGTGATAGTGAGGTGTATGTCCTGAGAACCTTTCTCTCTGCACTGAAATGGAGTAGTAGAAGATAGGTTTGGTAGTAAAAATACTACTTTTTTTTCCTTTTTTTTTTTTTTTTTCCTTGTGTTACACCAGTATAGGATTCACAAAGTTAATTATCTGAAGTTGAGGTAAGACTGACTGCTTTCAAGTCGATAGTTAAAACTTTTCTCCAAATTTTCTTTTCATCTGTGAGAAAACTGCTGTAGGTTATCAGTTATGGGCTGTAGTTAGTATTTCTCCAGGAATTTTCTGTGCTCTTAAAGTTTTAATTCAGTAAAGTCCTGATGACTACACCTGATAGCAGTGCTGCAGCCTTTTGGGGGCTGAGTTTTGGGTAAAGACTTTTCAGCTTGGGGCTTACATACCATGAACCAGTAGCTTTCAGGAGTTGTTCAGTGCTCTAATTTTGGTAAAAAGAGATGGATGTAGCTTCTTGGTCCTGCTTGTGACTCAGCCATAAGCCATGTTTGCTGTTAAACAGACTCTGTAGGTTTGTGAGTGATGGAACGGTAAACTTTAAAAAAAACTTCCTTGTTGGCAGCAATGACATTGGCATTTCAGATCCGGCTTCTTAATTTGGTGATGGTGACTTTTAACTACCGAAGGGTTTGTGATGATTAAGAGAAAATGGCAAATGGCCTGTACAATGTACAGTCAGAAAAATACAGTGTGGTCATGCTAGTTACACAGAACAGGAAACTAGTGATGAATAGAGGAGAAGGAACTGCTGGTGTTTAGTCTGAAATGGCTGCATGGCTCAGCAGGATGAAAGCACAGCTTATCCAGGTCTGTCCAAGATAAAGCAATACTTTATACTTAATGTAGTTTGGCCAATCAGCCAGGAAACACTGCATAAAATTTGTCATTGGTTCTTAAATGTAAGCAGTGATGAAATCCCTTCACAGAGAACAGATATCACTTGCTAATGGATTTTGCCGCCCCAAAGAATAATGACATTTAGTTCACTCATGCCCATGGTGTTGTGTCATCGTTAGAAAAACGCTGGAGGAAGGACTTTCTTTTGTGAAATGTCTGGTGTTCACAGACATTAATTTTAGAGAGTTGGATGATGGGTTTTGCATTTTGTGTATATTAACTGCTTACTAACTAGGACCCAGCTTTTCTTTCTCAGAGAGGAATTTTTCTTGCATCTGGCTGAATTTCTTTAAACAAACAAACAAGGAAACCTAACATACTGCAGAATAGGCTAGTCTAACTGAATTGAAGATGTGAACGAATCTTTACAGCTGTTCCTGGTAATCTCTTAGTATAGGGAAGAAAATAGGACTGCTTTCTATTGTATTACTTTGTAGAAATTTGGGGATTAGATGAAATATAATGGATGAACCAGCATCATACATAAAAAGCACAACTTTCAGCCCACTTCTACAAGGTGACAGCACCTTTACCAGCTACTTTCGTCAAGGTGCCAGATTGAATGAAGGGCTTTACAGTGCAGGGCAAATAAATCAGTAATGTTTGTGGGATCTGGAAGGCTGTGTTGATTTTCTGGATAAACCAGTTGTGTTCAAGCAAAAACTATTTTTTGTAATTCTTCCTGTTCTTCAGAGTAAAATTTTAAATAAACTGGCAAATTTTGATACCTACGAGCCTGATGGTTAGCTCCTTCCTACATACCTTTGTATGAGGGAAATCTGTTTTTAACTCCCTGTGATGTTTTTAAGCAGGGCCCATAAGAGAGCATTGTAGCCACTAGCACATGAGGCATTTTGATTAAATCACTCATCCTTGTGCACACACATCTTACGTTCAGGGACTCTGATGTGACTTTTAATTTCCTTAATGAAGTCCTTCACTGCTTAGATAAAGACTGGTCCTCATAGGAGAGAAAACTAGGAGTAAGGGAGATGATCAGGTGGGCAGAACACCTAATGTGAGTTTTTTACTTCCAGCCTGAGGCACAGCAGGGTGTTCAGGCAGTTGAACAAGACGGGGAGTTGAGGCTTCTGCTCCTGCATGTGCTTTCCTTCTGCAGGAGTCCATCGCCTGTTTAGAGATCCCAGTGTTACCTATGCACTGGTTGTAGGTACTTGGATCCTTTTGTTTGGGTCTGACTCCAGAATCCCGTTGTTACAAAAGCAGCTTACTGAACTGGCAGTATTATTTTTCTACTATGTCCTAATGTGGCCAAATAAGCAGATGCAGTGTGAGATTTTCTTTATGTATATATATTTTTTTTTCCAGGCAAGAAAATCAATGTAGGAAAAATGAAGAGGAAAAAAAGGCAAAAATTTTTAAGATGAATGACTAAATAAAGCTGAATGAGGGCTAAACAAAAACGCAAAAGTGGATGAAATGTTCCTAAGTATTTGAAAAGTGCAAGAACAAACAGTTGGTAGAGACGCTCAAATGTTTTGCGAGCTCAGCATACCTAGGAATAGTATGTGAAAATGAAGGATGTAGAAGGAATAGAGAGATTAAAATTAGGAACTAGGCCATTATCATATGAAATAAGCCTTTCACAAGAAAAACCACAGGATAGCTCCAAGTTTAGACAAAACACTGCATGGTATATACTAGGGAACAATCAGTAAAGGAAGGTTGGATGGATGAGGAAGAATCTTGTTCTCCTAATCCTGGTGCTTGGGAGTGAATAGTGACCATGATAACCATTACTACGTTTGTTGCGTTTGGTGTTAAACTGATCATTCGTTAAACTTCTGTCTTTCTGTTTTTATTTCTAGGCCTCTTCCTCATCTTAGGCTTGATACTTTACCCTGCAGGTTGGGGATGCCAGAAAGCAATAAGCTATTGTGGACCTTATGCTTCTGCTTACAAACTAGGAGACTGCTCCTTGGGCTGGGCTTTCTACACAGCTATTGGTGGCACTATTCTGACGTTCATTTGTGCGGTCTTCTCGGCGCAAGCTGAAATAGCCACATCCAGTGACAAGGTGCAAGAAGAAATTGAAGAAGGAAAAAACCTTATTTGCCTCCTTTAACTCCAGTGGGGAAAAATACCAGCACCTGAATCTTAATCTGCTTTCCATTGACTGGACAAGCAGAGCCGCTTACCCATTTCTACCATTTGTGTGATTGAGCCCCATGCATTCCAGCCCTGAACTACTGAAATGGTCTTTCTTTCTTGCTGGGCAATGAGGATCTGAGAAAGGATCCCAAGAAAGCAGAATGTAAATAATTGGGGATGTCTTTAGTTTCATTCTATATTCAGGACACAGTGGAATATATTAATCTGACTGGGGAGGTGAGGAATCGTGTATATAGCAGGAATACTATTGATTTAACTGACAAATTCTGATTGATTGGATTGCCTTACCCACCTTGGTCACTTTGAAGAATTTGGATTTAAAATAATAAAAGCCAGCACATTTTTTTTTTTTTTCCTTATACAAAAGAGAAGCCTATTTTAATTAGGCTCTGTTTCCAAGGGCCCCCCTCACCTGTGAATATTTCACCACCACCTGGTTTGGTACCATCCTTTTCATTGAGGTGCTTTTTGATACTGAACTTCCTTAAAGTACAGTGCCTTCTCAGATAGTAGGGATATGTTGGAGAGAGCAAAGCTGACGTGACGCAGTTTACACCGATCTTTAAGCGTTTAAAGAATTCAGTCCCTGCCAGGTTTCTTTGTCTTGAAGCTGGTGCAAGGTGTGTGCCACTTGTTCCTTAGCAGGTAAATGATTTTATTTTCATTAACTGGACAGAGAAGCTGTTGTTACACTGGCTTTCACCTGATTCTGGTAAAAATTGTTTGAAATAACCATTGCTAGAAATATTTCTGCAGCCTTTATTAAAACTCCTGAAATCCCAGGCAGATGACAACTCCCCACAACACAGCTGGGCACTATCTAGCGAAAGCCAACAGCCTGGCCTGGGCTGTAGCCTCTCCTACAAATGCAGATTGCATGTTGGGCTTCAACAGTATTATTCTTTCTCTTGCCAGTGAAATCTCATTCCTAGTCTACAGATCAGTCTGTCTCATGACCCAGAGCCACATGGGTCCTTAAGAAATTTACATTTTTCAGGAAGTCTTGCCAAATTCTACGTGGCTGGGAAGATTTTTTTTTTTTTTTTTAAACCGCATGTAGCATTGACCCTTTTCCAACTAAATCAGCAGAAATAAAACAGACCTTGCCACAAATGACATTCCTTTCTCATAGGCAGTTGGTTGTATTACTTGTGGTGTTGCATCACTTAGTAGAACTACTTCTGAAAGCAAATTTAAAATGTACTTTAAGGTAACAAAGGAATGATGCAACTGTGCCATAGGAGCATGGGGGATAATTAATCTGAGAAGTAGGTCTGCTGAAAGTAGTAGAGTGAATTTTAGACTCTTCTTGCTTCTGGGTAGTTTAAGACCATCGCAGGACAGCGCTGTAAATTATATCGAATTACAAATTCGATATGGAGCGGAGGCTCCGGTTTATGCCGGGTCGGTCCCCGGGCGGGTGCCGTGAGTTGCTGTTCGTGTTCAGGGCCGCTGTCACGTACAAGTCGGCGGCCAGCGCCACGGCGCTGCTCGGGGCACGCGTGGTACTGGAGCTGTTCAGCACCCACGACCCCAAGAGCACGGGTGGGCTCCCCCCACCCCCCTCCCTGGCCGGAACCCCCTCGGGAGCCCCCGGGGGCGCCTCAAACAGCGTCAGCTTCCGCCCCTGTTAAAAAGGGGTTGCTTTAATCTAGCCTCTCCTTGCGCTGCAACCCGCCTACACCGTATTCTAGTTTAAAACGGGTAATTCACTTTTAAATATTTAATGTTAAAAAACAAAACAAAACAAACACAAACAAACAAAAAAAAAACAAAACAAACAAACAAAAAAAAAAAAACAAACAAACAAACAAAAAAAACAACACCCCAGGCCCAACAAGCGTTCCGGTCTGCCATTTCTGCCCACTGCCTGCACGAAGGAAGAGTTTTAAACAAATCGCAATTACTGGCACGACGCGGTGTCCCGGGGCGGAAATCGCAACCCGCGCGCGCTGCCCGGCGGCGATCCGACGCCCCAACCGTCCTTGTGACGCTCCCGCTGAGCCCCCTGATGGAGCGCGCGGCACGAGGCGGGCCCCGCGCGCGCAAACGGGGCGGGCCGGGGCCGGACAGGGCGGGTGGGGGTAGCCCAGGAGCCCCTGGCAATGAGTTGGGCCGTGGGGGGGGCGGCGGCCGCCGCCGGCCGGTTTTGAGGCCGTGTCAGGGCGAGAAACGCTGCGCTGGGCGGAGCGGCGGGTCGGGCTCCGTGGCGTCAGTCCCGCCACGGGGCGGGGGTGTGGGGGGTGGGGCAAGCGCTGCTTCGGCTTTAGGCGCCAACCGCGGCCAACCCTCGCTTGCAGTGCTGGCTGCCCTCGGCTGCGACATGCAGAGCGCTTACGGAATTTTAATAGTGCGGGTGTTTGCTAAGTACAAAGTCGGTATTTTCAGTGGCTTGTTCTGCTTTTGTTTGCATTTATAACCAGGAAGAACCAACTTTTCTGCTTGTCGCTGGTATACCATCGACTTGCTCTGCAACAACATGATCAACTAACTTGTAAGAATACCCATGCTCATCACATAGCACAGACAGAAGACAGGCTGGGAAGAAATACAGGAAAAAAAAAATCAGAATTTCTTTTCTCAGGGTTCTGTTTTTCTAGCAAGTGATAAGATGGTATATATCGCAGTTTTTCTTCTGGATGAGGTTTTCAGGTATAGGGTGCACTCATTAAATTTGACAGCTGTTTAAAGTTGTTCCTGAAGTTCACCTTGGCAATAGCCTTCAAAGATGTTTGGGGGAGAAGAAGGAAAAAAAAAAAAAAAAAAAAAGCTTAAAACTAATTTAATTAATTTCATGGGAGGGCTGCAGAGTGTAACTGCTTCTTAATGTACATGCACTGCTTAGGATCTAGAAGAATTTGCTGGGGATTCTTTAAAACCTGTGTGCTAATTAGTTCAGTTTAATTTTGTTTTTGTGGTATTGAAGAATTCTTCAAATATCTGTGGTTTGATCAGCTTCGTAAACTTATATTCTGTAAAGTGCCATAGACATTTTTTTTTAATTGTAGCATATTTAAATATATATATATATATATATATATATATATATACACAAATTTGTGTGAGATGTGCAATACCAGGAATGGGTTTTGTTGTGGTTTCTTTTTTTTTTCCCTTAGTTTTTGCTTTTAAACAAGGTATTTGAAAAGGGACTTCCTTGGGGAAGAAGTGGCTGGAGTTTGGGCGGTCTGGACAAACGAATGCATACAGTAATGCAATAGAATAACTGATTTTGAAGATTAGTACAACAGTAGTATCAGCCGCTTAAAGATTTAACAAAAACCTCTTCTATGTTGATTTGAAATACTCAGATCTATGTCATGCAGACAGTTCAAAGGTGAAGCTGTATCCATCTCTGGCAATACACAATCTGAAAGGTGGCAAGTCTCAGTAAGGTTTCTTAATGTGCTTTAGTTATAATGTGGCACTGAAAAAAACACTGCTACTGAGCTATTTCTGGGTTGTCTGTATCACCATTTTACTCAAAGTTCTCTGGATTCTGAGGGGATTTTTTTTCAGCCAAATCACTTCCATTTTGTATCGTTATCCCACGTCAGAGAGGTCTTGTCTCCTCGTGGTGAACGGAGAGGAGTCCAAGTCTTCCCTGAACGCCGTGGGCGCTGATGCCTACCTCAAGGAGAGGACAGAGCCCAGCCAGAGCCGAGCGTGGCAGCAACCTGTACGGGACGAGCAGCTGTGGCATCCAGCTAGAGTAGATTTTGAGCCATGGTTTATTTGTGGTACTGTTTTTCTGTTCTTGAGTCACCACTATGTACATTTGTTAGCACAAATGATGTACGTAATGTGTTATTTTTAATCTAAATTTCAATTAAAATGTGAGTTTTCAAACTTTTAACAGGAGTCTGACTATCTTAATTCAAGCATATTGGACAAATCGAGCCACAGCAAGGTAGCTTTAATTGTAGCTTTAATAGCATTTAAGATTGCAGCCCACGGATGTTGTCAATGTTTCAGATTTCTGTCTGACTTTAACGATTATTACCACTTACTGATCAATAAGTATGTGATCTGAAATTGTAGCTATGTGATATGAAATACAGTTGCATTAAAGAGACTTTATAATTGAATATTTGTCTGACAAATGTTTTTTCATTTTGCAACGAAAAAGGACTGCAGTTCTTTCTTATGAAAAGGGCTAGCAAAGGTTGTAAAACAAGTATTGTGCTTAATCACACAGACTTCTAAAATGGTTTTTGCCACAATGCGTCTTACCTTTCACTTGTGACTTTACAAACATGAGAGAGAGGTTACATGTTGTTCTCTAAGCAAATGTATGGCAGAATTAGGACAAAAGCTTTCAGTAGTTTAGAGAAGTCAGGATGTTGCTTTTCTCATAGTTGCTATTTCTACTAAATGCACATACAATCAATTCTAACAGCTTCTAAACTTCCAAGTAGTTGTTCTTGGTTAAAACTTGGAATATTTAGAAACCTCCAGTCCAGAAGAAGTTAGGGGATAGGCATTACTCAGTGCATCACCACTGCAGTCATCTTTATGGATTTCAAAGCAGTTATTTTACAAATATGAAATACTGCCAAAAGAAATTACAAAGCACTGATTTTCATAGCTAAAAATACTGCCTCCCTTTTTAAGTAAGGTTAATGGAGTTGGAATAGAGAATGCAGAGTTCAGTTCTCTAATTGTGTTAATTATTACAGATTTCTGTGTTCTAGTAACTTCTTCCCCAAGCTCCAACTAGGTTTAGAGTGGTGATGCAATGAGAAAATGAATGTCTGTGATTAATATCAGAGGGACAGGAATATAAAGATGTCTTGCTCATATGGTTCACTGGAAGCTTGTTTTCAAATAGATCCTTTTATTTGATTTGTGTTATCTTTGCATGAGTGAAATTCTGAGAGCATACAAATCTGTGTCCCTAACCAGCTTTAGGTATCACTCAGATGCAGTGGGATCAGTAATTTGGTCTAGCTGAAAAAGGGAAAAAATAATTACAAATTTAATTATATTATTCTGACCACTTCCAGTTGCTCTCCTTGGACTGCCCAATCCAGCATATCCACTTTTTTTTTCTCTACAGCATCAAAACGACATCCATAGCAAAGACAAGAGCCCTGCACTGCAAAATGGCAATGGGTCCTTTGGCACCTGTGCAGTAACTACAGCTCAGATGATATAGGACTGGTTAATTAGGCTACGAACACTGTAAAATCTACTTGCAACACTGTCAGCTGAAACAGTGGCAGAGCAGCTGATGCTGCAGAGGCATCAGTGGTCAGTGTCAGCTGGTTTTTAAAATGGCCTGGGCTCCTGCCAGCATGTCCTACCCAGCACTAGCTGTGCGCATTTGCAAAGCAGAAAGCTGAGTGAATGGCCACAGGTCACTGGACTATCCAAAGCAGGCTGCGTTTTCCAGGCCCACATTAGCACTGTCCCAAGCACACCACCCATTACTAATGTAACCTCCAACTTCATCACCAAAAATCAGTCTCCGAAATTTCCCATCTCACCAGCTGAAGGTTTCCCTTTTTGAATCATGGGTACGAAGAAGTAAAACCTGGTCTTCTCAGCGCCTGGCAGAGCAACTCCGCCAAGTGTTCTTCCTCACCTCTGAGTAATGCAACAGCAAGGTGTAGGAACACTCACGGAAGCGGGACAGGATGTTTATATGTATATACACACAGTCACATCTCAGCAGCAAGTGTATTCAGAGATGGTAAAACAAACAAATTAAAAGCACTGTTGCTTGGTGTAATCACTGCCCATTCATCCAACAAAAAGCACATTTTAGGTGAGCTGTATATGCTTTCATTAAACAGCTGGAAAATTAATTTTATTTTGTTTTTCCAGAATAAAAAGTACAGCAGCACAATCCATAAGTCATGCTTCCCATCAACACTTTTTTTTTTTCCTCAATAGTGTGTGACATGCTATCCAGTTTAATCCTAGCACAAAATTAAACTAGTATTCTGCTGCTGAGGTAAGAAATCTACATCACTTCTTTTCTAGGTCTGCCTGATTTTTCTAATGATGAAAATAAAAGATACTCAGAAACACAGCACTCATTTGTGTGAAAAAAGGGTATAAACTAATTCTTACACATTTCAATGTAACTGAGTGAAACCTAACACATACATGTTTTAGTTAGCTGATCCACTGTGCCTTACTAGGGATTCTTTACCAGAATGCTCTAGGCGCCTGCCTTTTCCTTGACAGAAATACCTTTCCAGAAGTACCACTGAGTATTTTTAATCAGTCTCTTCCCTGTGTTGTTTTCTCTGTGCATGCCTTCCCAACTTCATGCTTACAACTTCTTGAGGAAAACTAGCCTCTGCAAACCAGAGGAATTACCTCCCCATGACACCATTTATATTGTGTAATAATTCTAACCATAAGACGTGACTGGATCCTGCTGCACAATTGTGCCTATCATTTACAAGGAAGTACAAAAGCTGTTCCTTTAGTCTGCTGCCGCTGCCATCCTTGATCTGTAAATTACAGAGAAACAGACCAAGTTGAAAAATTTCACTACTAGATGATGCATGCATGCACAGGTGTTTTCAAAAACTCACATCTCCTATCTCCCACAATAATCCTGACTGTACCTCAGAGCACTGTTCTCTGTGTTATGCATTTGCAAACCCAACTATGTTACAGAGGTCTACATTAAGCCATTCTGCCTTTCAAAGAAAACACAGTAATAAATTCAGTACTAGAGAGCAGCTGATATTCTGTGAAAAAAAAAAATAAAATCAACAGATCATGATAGTGCCTAAAAAAATGAGAAAAAGCAAGACACATCAGTGATACAGAAATGTCAATTCATAGGCAGAAATTAGGAAAATAAACACTACAAAAACAATGCTATTTTCAGCAACTTCATTTTACTTTCAGCAGTGTTTTAAGATTCACTTAATACCTGTAGAATTTCATTCAGTAATGATAGAACATCTTTAGATTTTAACTCGTGAGTTTACAGCACAAGGAAGTGGGCTGAAAGTGTTCAAGAATTTTCTTCGTAACAGTTGAGTAGACTAATTCTCAATACCCTAATGTATTATTTTGACAGTTGACATTTTGCTTCCCCATTTCAGCAGAATTACAGCATTTATATACAGATTTATAAAAACCAAGTAAGACTTTTACACAGATCATCTGCCCTGCACATATACCCTGTTAGAAGAAGAATCCCCATGTTGGTCAAAACTATACAGAGAAAACACCCAGGAAAAGAGTCTTTTTTTATTCTATGACACTGTGTTAATACAATAAATATACAAACCTTCTGAACTACTTGGACATGCAACAGAGGGACAGAAGTGCATTTGTACAGAACCATGACATTCACCAGGATGGCAGAGCATTGTTAGTAATTTACAAAATATACAAACATTTCCCTCAGATAAATAAAGCCAACTCCTAAATTACAATGACTACTGACAATCCAGTGTTTTAACTTCATACTTTGTACTCAGTTTGTCACAATACTACAAAATGACAACTTAAGTGGGCGCCATACTCTAATTAATTGATAACAGACTGTAAAATCTAGTAGTTGTTAGGTACAAAATATTTTAACAAATATCAGCCTTCTGTTGTCAAAGCTAAACTCAAACTTCTCCCTCCTTTTTCGGCTGCAAAGTGTCAGAGATTTCTGATTTGAACAATTCACATGTAACTGAATCTTGAACTTCTCTTAGGTTTAAATCCATACATTGAACCCATGACTTTACAAATCAACGCTCCCTATACAAAGAACATTTAATATGTTTTCTCAAAGAGCCTTTAAACATTTGGGGAAGAAAATCTGCCTGCCATATTCAGATTTTATTCCTAACATTTTTTTCCATAATACATTCTGGTAAAGTATGTTACTATGCAATCTTCAACTTTAGTTAAATTGCAAGGATGATGTCCCTGGGATTCCTATCTAAAAGATAACCAAGAGAATTGCTTAAATTTAGATTTAGAAGTAATCCACAGAAGAATTTGTAGATACAACCCTCAAGTCTAAAAGATTGTGAAAAGAACAATCTTGATATACAGCTGCTAGAAGGATGATGCCTGATCTCAACAGAAAATGGTAGTTTTTATCTGGAAAGCTTTTAATAACACTCCACACAAATTTAAGTTCAATGCCACTAGTAAGAAATTTTAGATCCCCTATTACAGAGAATATTTAAATTGCTTTTAACTTCATGATGCAGAGAACATTTAGAAGCAAGTATATTCATTAGTATGAACTTCAGCGTAGGTGAAACTACAACACTTATCCAAATTCAAGTTGGATTTTAAAAAAAATAGTAGAAGGAGACTAATAGGGACTTCATGCTAACACTAACAATACTGAATCAAGGATTAAGCTAGGGGGGGTATTTTTTGTAATGCTCTTCTATTATGACTATAGTGTAGTGAAAAAGAAAGTCAGTCCACATTCAGAACATGGAGGGGCCTCAGAATTTTATGCTGTTTTACTAAAGGTGATTCACTTTAAGAGCTGAATTAATTTCAGCCACAGTGTATACTTACACAGGCTGTGGGATGTGGTCCTTCCTGTTTTCATTTCTGAAAACAGTCTGAAAAAACAGCCCAAGCATTGTGCATAAGACTCATGAGGCAGTCCAAGAATAGTCTTCAAAGGAGAGAAACATGATGTTTTACTAAGGCCTGATTATATTCTAGCATATTACAATAGTATGTAGCATTATGGATTATTCAGTCCCACAGCACCAATTTAACTTCTTAGGCCTCCAGTTCAGTGAGTTAAAAATTAACATTGTTAAAAGATTAAGGTTTCTCACTTTTCCAACCAAAAGAGTTTAAAAGCTTTTTTCCCCAGCTTAAGTCACATCACAGAAATGGCTGAGTTAATGTGAAAATGAATTCAAGTATCTGGTAAATGCCATTGCTTATAAAGCTTGGGTTTAGACAATAGTTTAGATAGTATTCCTGTTAGAAAATTAAATACTGTATATTCAGATTTCTGGACAAGCAGCAAACTGAGTGACTGACTAGGCTAGAGATTCAGTATCACTGGTAAACACAAATCTACACTTAAAAAAAAAAAACAAAACCCACCCAAAACCAAAAACAACCCCCCCAAAATCCCAAATACAACAAAAATACTACTGCATGTCGAAGAGGGGAGGGAGGCAAGAAACTAGGGTGCTAAAAGTCAATGCTGGTTTCTTTTCCAGCAAAATTATTACCCCAAGACATGAATACTGAATTAAAAATAGTAAATATATAATCATTCAGCTCCATGACTGAAACCATCAGTTAACTTCCTTCAGCTGTACACTGCATTACACATTCCATTACAGAGAATGCTTATGCACCATAGTGATTTCTCACAAGTAGAGAATACTCCATGAAAACAGATAGAAACAAATGCTATTATTACAAAGTGGCGCAGGTAAATTCTGGACCAAAACACTATTTAAACAAGATCAAATAACAGTATTCATGCAAACTTACAGGTTTATATCAAAAGACTTATCCTAAAAAAACACCCAAGAAAAGAACTTATAGTATCTACCCTACCTGTATTTGTCCTCCAGCAGCTGCTGAAATTGCAAAAGCAGTAGCCAAACCTAACTTTCTGCATCTCAGTCTACCCCACTTCTTATAGTAGAAACAGTGAAAACAATTCTTACAAAGAAAAATAATTGATTCAAAGTGCTTTTCTGAAGTTAAAAAAAAGTAAAATACCAGAGTGAACTGCTAAAAAACCTTCCAAATTCTTAATACATTTATTTGATCATTACATAATTAATTATCAGGCCAATTACTGAAATCATTTATCCCCCATAAAATATGGAAGGCTTTATATTCTAGAACGCAACATCTTAAAGAAGGGCGAAGAATGGTTATCTTCATAAAATAAATAAATTTCTAATCGAATAACCAAACATTTCCCATTTTACCCATGCACAGCTGCAGAAAAGACAAACATGCTGTGTGAATTTTGATCTAGGCTTTTAGGGAACAAAATAAGTGACTGGATCGAAGAGAACTGCGCTGACTTTTTGTTTCCCTACATTCGGTTACCCTTGAATGCATTTTGAGCTGCACTGGTTGCTGCTGTTGATGCGGCGTTGGCTGCAGCAGTTTGTACAGTTTTGTTGGACATCACTCCTGTTGCAAACTCCTGCTGTGCCTTCTCAAAACTAGCACCAGTCGTGCGGTAGAGACCATGCACCTAGGGAGGTGGAAAAGCAGTGAAAAAGCAGTGCTGACCCTCCCATTTCTTGGTAGACTAATAGCAAATTCTCAAACATGAAGCAGAGCTGTGTGGTGGGGAAATCTGTTTTGCTCATGGATTTGGGAGGATCCAGAAATGAGAAAATGGACTTTTTTTCCACACAGACGACAACTGTTGATTGCCCTGCTGCATGCACAGTTTGACTGTAGGAATACCTGTAACTTTTTGCAAGTTGAGAGGGGCCTCATCGGTCTTTACTAAAATGTGGGTGGTACCTACTGTCTGAAATAGTGTATTTAAATACACAAACAGGCTGCATCCTTAGCATAACGTAGGGCTCATATCTTACAAAAATGTCTTCTGTCTCAATTCGTATACAACTTGTCCTACTCATTAAAAGAGTCAGGAAGTGTGCATGTTAAAAAACACAGCCAGAAACAAAAACAAAAAACGAGTTTTGAATCCACTGTGTCAGTAACATTTTGGTGAACTTTTTTCTATGTCAGTTTTTAGGAACATTTTAACTTCTCTGATTGATACAGTTACAAGAACAAGCTAAGTTATGACCGAATATTTAAAAGTATAAAATATCACAATAATGGAGATACATATCTGCTAAACTAGTGTGATGACCACTGGCTCTGCAGAATAAGAAGTATTAAACATTAAAATGCTATTTCAGACTCATATTCAATCAAGACACAATAAAGTTATCCAGTAATATTGCAAAGACATTTTCATTCAAGTGTAGCAGGAAAATGAAAGTTGTAACTTTTTTCTTTGTTATGAATGTGACTATTTCTAACCCAAAAGATATATCAGGTCACAGCTGAGTATACAGGTTTTTGAAAAGACTCCAGATGCATACGGTAGAAAGAGTGTAAAAAATTGCTCCACCATACATTTTTCTTGTTTCTCTCTCCTGTACCTGAGTATTTCTGCAGAAAACAAATAAGGAGAAGGGACATCTCCAGGCAATACTTAAGATTTCTAGCTTACTGTAAATAGGCCAGAAGAGTTGGGGTATGTGAAAATCTTTACGCATAACTGTAACTGAAGTTGAATTATCAGAATTGACAGCACATCATCAGCAAAATTCTCAGTTATATTTTATCTAAACAACATCAAAAACCTACTAACATTACTATCTAAACTTAGGACTTCTGGATGGGAATTCACAAAAAGGAGCCAAGGGAAAAGGGCACCTTTCTTTGAGCTTTCATGCTATGCAATCATTGACAACAAAATGCTGAAGTAACAGAAACAGAGAAATAAAAATCCTTTTCTGAGACACCAGGCATCTCCCTCCCTCTTCTACTGATCTTAATGGGAATGATTTTGGTAAGAGCGGAAACTTAGCAATCATCAGGATCACACTTCACTCAGCTTGATGAATCACCACATATTTGAAAATTACAACCTGGCATCTACAGGCAAAATCACAGTGTCCAGTGCGTTCACCTAACCTTTCACTGTGGGCTTACCTCACAATTTCTCTTACTGAGAGCTATCCTTCCCCATTTTAGTTTGCAGAAAATATATGCACTGTACAAACTGCATTTCCTAACTTCACCACAGTACAAGCAAAGAAGTACAGTTGTTAACAGGTACGGCAAACCCCCAAGAATGTAATTTAATCCCCGTTACTTTGTGAAAGACTACCTCTCTCAATCAGGAAAGCTAATCAAATACAGGAAACAGAAGAGGGGAGTAATAAATAACTTACCTTTTTAAACATAACTAATGAGATAACAGCAGATGCTGTGAAAAGTGCAGCTATGATTATCATCATAATGCCAACAGGAATACTCTTATTAAGACCAGTAAGAGATGAAATCCACCCACTGAAAGAAAAAGAAAGGACAAACTTTACTAGCATACACACAAAGCATTCAACTGCAGGTACCCACATCAAGGGAAGCTTTATAAATCTCCTGGTTCTGATCAACTTTGAATATTTTTGAATAAGGAGTCATGGGAATTTTACATAGCATGTTTTAATTCCATAATAAACTTTCAGAGCTTAGTTTCCATATTTACCAATGCATGCAGTGCAAAATTTGTAGTAAAAATCACTATCCTTGAGCAGAATTGTGAAGAAATTAGAGGTGCTCATCAACTTTTATTTGGTTGGAGTTTTTTTGTTGTACTGTCATTTCAGACTAATTTAAGACTACATGATTTCATAGAAGAGAAAATGCACCTAAAAAGACAGCTTCTAACTTCTCTAAATATAAAAGAAAAACATGCCACACACAGACAGCATCTGTGTGGGAAGACTCATTTAATTGTATCCACAGAGCGATGCTTTCACAATTGAGGTTAATCTGTTATTTTTTTGAGGTAGATAGCATGAGGTTAACTAATGGAAAAGCTTGCTGTATCAGTATCTACTTCAAACATTTCCTCATTCTTTAAAATTGAAACACCAATGGAAAATACAGTATCAAACTTGAAACCACAAAAAGCACGTTGCCTTAAGAAAAATGAAACATTAAGACAGAAAAGATTCTTCCACAGAAAAAAAAGCAAAAAATTTCTGTAAACCCAAACAACCTTAAAACTTTCCTGCACCTGTTTCAGATTACTTTGATATCCCTACATCCAACTGCACTCTACCACAAAATTCCAAAATCCAAACTGTAATTAGCATTTTCTGGTGATCTGGCTACTTTTCATACCCCTCCCCCAAGCATCCTTAAAAGCACACTCCACATACTTGGAGAACTGGCCCTCTAAAATACCTTGTTTTGTTAATGTCAATGTATCTATGGAAAAGCAAACCAGTGGATTTGAGAGCAAAAAACCATGAAACAGGATCTTTCCTTACACTACAGTTCTAAAGCAATGTGATTTTTTCTGCCTTATGTATGTTTGGAGGTTAAGCAGCAAGAAGCAGTGATACAGAGAAATGTCATTACCCAGCTACAATACTGCCAGTCATATCCCTCCATGGTATCAGCTAGCAACTACAACCATGCTTCTAGTAGTTCAAGTTTATCGCCTTTTTTTCCAAGGACAGGGACTGATTCCCAGTAGCTTTTCCTTGTAAAATCTAAGTATTAGACCTCAAAGAGTCAAATAAAAGATAATACACCTGAGACCTTAATGTAAAAGCTTATACACTTACAAGCATCAAAAAGAAAAATCAACTATTACAGACTAAGGAGCTGACACAGATAAATGAGCTTTTCAATTAGTATCAAAGATATACCACAATATTCATCTGAATACACTGTTGACTTATTCTTCAAATTTTAGCCACAAATTTCCTTAATAATGTAGTAAGTATATGAATATAATTAGAAATAACTAATGGTAAATAATATGCAAACAGTATATTATTACTGTCTAAATTATCTTCATTTTCTCTAAGTTTTGCTTATGTCTTTATCTTAGATACAGGGCAAGTAACATCTCCACACCACACCAAAACAGAGGACATAACGTATAAAAGAATAGTTCAAAGTGGTTTAACATCAGAGGATAAAATTTTGACCAGCCAAACAACAGTACCACATCACACTCTTGGAATATGTTTCACTCACTTTTCCTAGTTAAGAGCATTCCAAAAAAAAAAAAAGGGTTTTTTTTTTGAGTGCTAAGTGTAAACAATTCCAGTGAACACAAGCTTTTTCTCAATAAAACAAAACCAAAAAACAAACCACAGACTGTACTGCAGTTTCTGTATCAAATATGTGCATTTGTCTTACAGACAGTACAGCACTACAGCAAACAGAATACTCACCAGTTTCCCCATCTTTGAAATCCTGCAGCTTGAAGTACATGTACAGCAAACTGACAGATATATACAAAGAAGAACACAAAGAACCTGAATGAACTGTCACTCCTGAAAGAGGGGGGGAAAAAGATTAAAGCAGCCAGGAAATTAATGACTTTTTGCAAATACTGTAGTACCAATCTAAAAAGTTTTTTCCTCATTAACTAGAGAAAAAGTGCTTTCATTTATTGACAGTGACATGAAGTATCAGTAATTCTGTGAGTTTAAAAAGTGTTTATTTTCACGAGCTGTTCCTTCATCTTTAATACAGTATTTTTGCCACCTGTACCTCTACAGAGGTGATAATAGCAGCAAGATACTATTCATTAGTCTTCTGTTCAGCACACAGCATGGCCTCTTAAGACTAAACATAGAAGTTTTGCTACAATGCATGAAGAACACAACCCTGCTCCACTTTCAGATTGAAGTTCACAGTGCTGGCAGGATGGGAAGAAAATATTTTACATATAATAGAAAATAAAATCTAATGTGGAATTACTGAAACATAGTGCAGAACAGAATATTGAAGTGGCTGTTGCTCAAAAGCAAAATATATAAAATAGGTTTGCTGCTGAAATTACTAAAATTCCAGCCTGACAAAGACTGAAAGTAAAAAAAAAAAAAAAAAAAAAGTACAAGCAAAATCTCAACAAAGACCTCAACTTGTTACTATCAAAACTAATGATCATATGATATGCTTGCTACCAGCGTTCTAAAGACAGTAGAAATCACTTAGTTAAGTCACAGAATCAGATTTTGCCATTAATAGCTCTTCCTGAAAAGGGTTTGTTCATTTCTATTTATTCAACCAGTTCTGTTCAATAGCTATTTCATTTTCATCTGAGCAACTGACCAAAAGTTGAATATGCAAGTAGTAATTCTCCTTTTCCAAGCAATCAATATTCACTAAGAAAAGCTATGGATTTACTAAAGAGCAAATACAAGTTAAACTATATGATTCCTCAAAGATGTGTGGGTACAGCAATGCCTCCTCGGTTAGCAAAAAGAAACATCTCGTATAGTCTAAAGGTTATGCTTAACTGCAATTTCTGGCCATCAATCTTTCTTTATAAGAATTAGTGCATTTTAACTGAGAATATCCTGAATCATTTCAATGTTAAAAAAAAAAAAAAACATCCCAAGAAATACTCTGAGTACTGAATTTAAAATCACTACATGCTGTTTTTCACCCCCATAAAAGTTCAATTTTATATGCAAACCACTCATTCTATTCTTAAACACAAAATTACCAAAACTCACGCTTGTGAAGTTTGCAAAGATTGCTAGAAGCCAGGAGAAATACTACAGTTTGATTATATACTTGTTCTACTAATTCTTAAGCATCTCAGTCTACTTCAGTTATAGACACTGTAGGTCACTGACCAATATAAGATTTTTTTATGTGTAAAATTTTATGAAGATCATTCTGGAAGCCAAAAATTTAAGATATTCAACTATTAGCCTACTCAAGTTCTTGGTGTGAAGGGGTAAGATATTTAATGAGAATCTTCCTTAAAATTGTTATCAGCCCAATACAAATTTAAATATTTCCTACAGTATTTTGTCAATGGTAGAGCTATCAAAATTTGAAAGGATATTCCACGATATTCCTAACTATTGCCATCTAGGTTTCAAATACAACAACTGAATTAATAGCAAACATATTGATTGTTTCCAATGAAAGCATATTAAAGGATTATCATAATGATAATCAAGCAAATTCTGGAATGTTAATGCATGTTGACAAGTTTTTAAATATCCTAAGTCAAGCTGAAGTTGTTACCTGAAAGCTCCATAAAGTGGTCTGTACCAGCAGACAAAAGAACAAGGGGTAAAAAGCAAGAACCAGAGAATACTCAATCCAAAATCAACCCCTCGAGTAGCATCAACGTAAAACCAGGCCAAACATCCAAAGATATTAAGAAACAGTGTCACTGTATGGACTGTAGAAGCAAAAGCAAAACAGTCTTAATTAAGTTATGTTTACACAGTAGATTATTACAACTGTTAAAGTAATACTCAAACTGAGCATTTTTAATCAAAAGATCATCATGCTGACAATACATGAATACCCTCTCAATACCCTCAGCAATAAGCTGCTTTTTATACAGTTTTATAACTTTCAGGTAAACCCTGTATTCACAAATGAAAGTACTGAACATGAAAATTCAAGCACTATCAGGTAGAAGGTGAAGGAAAAAATCCTGTCATAAAAATAAAACAACTTCAAACTTAAAATGATAAAAAGAGAAGTTTCTACAGCTTCAATAATTGATGCTTTTTCTACAGTAATAACTGGATACAGATATTTAACAGACTACTGAATATTTTCTGAGAGAAAGCTTATAAATTATATAAAATGCACCATAAATTTAGCCCTGTAAACATTCTGATTTGAAAGTAAAAATTTCAAAAAATACCTTTTGATTAAAAGCTTTCTGTTTTCCATGTGATAAAGCAAAAAAAAAAAACCCACTTAGTAAAAATGTTTCTCAGTAAAACACAATCTGCAAGATGCCTTAACACATATTGCATATTCAAGTACTTCTTATAATATTGGTCTTAAACATCTGCCTTTTTGGTGCTTCATTCCTAGCTCAATACTAGCACTTTCTCATTGGCAGACCTTGTTACAGGTTAACTACTGAATTTCTACTAATGAAAATTTATTGGGATTATGACTTCACAGTTTATCTCAAATATATTTAGATCTTAGAAGAGAAAAAGATACAGCAGTATTAAGAAACACAACAACTACTACCTTCCTGCTATCTGGCACAGGAGTTAGTTCTGCCAAACTTAAAAGACGAACATGAATTTCTTTGTTCAGCAATAACCAGTGATTCAGGAGTGATTTTGCTATCTCAGAAGACAATTTCTGTCCTTGTGGACCAGGATAAAGGGGAGTATTTATAATTGAGAGTGCACTAGCTGCTCCTTGCAATGATTTTTTTATTTAAGCTCAGAGACACATTTTATTCATTCTGCTGGGAGATTCTGAAAAACAGATTCCTCAAACTCTTTGCTGCCCTCTTAACTAGTACTTAAGTCCTAAATCAACTTAGTAGGAAAAAATCTTAAAGCAAAATGCCCACATCTTTGCATGACAGGCTGATGAAACTCAAAACATTTCCCTCAGACAAATCATATTTTCCTCTATGAGTCACCAGAAAAAGAAAACTTTGCACTTTTAAATAGTAAGTATTTAATGCATCTACATATCTTAGAATGGTTCCAAGAGATCAGCAAAGCAACTCATTTCAGAATTTGTGTGTGTATGCCTCATAAAGCACAACAAAGGACACAAATCCAAACTCCTACCTTCGATAAATATGAGAAAGCTTACTATGAGGTACTCTTTGTTTTTCTAGTCAATACTGGAAAACAAGGAGAATCCCTAGATTACAAGAAACATACACACTCTGGTGGAGTTTGAACTTTCCAAAATTACTACTTTTTTGGTAATTGCAATTATGATAACAAGACAAGTTTTAAAAAGAATACCATCAGTGCAGAAGAGTGTTGAAACATCACACCCACTACTGATACTTATTAGGACAATAAAACCAGCAACACAGGGGTCTACTTCACCACTGTCACAGAGAATCGCAGCTGTAAAAATTAAGCATTAGCAAGCTACAGATGAAGACAAGGGACTTCACTGACAGTTCTCCCTTTGCTCCACTTGCCCTTCTCTGACTGCTGCAAGGTACAGAAAGACATTTTTTCTTTGAGCCAAGACCTTCACTAAGTGACCTAGATAAGCTTTGCTGTTGCATGAACAGACAGGTGGTTTTATGTTCGGGCTAACAGTTTTAAGTTGCCTCTTCAAATTAAACCATGATAAAAGTTATTAGAAGATAATGACCACCTGGGGGCTGAAATGATGTAGAGCTTTGGCAGAAGTCTGCAACATTCAATGTCTGTACGACAGTAACTTCACAGCTATACCAATACAGTACTCAGCATGAATTGATCCAAGAAAGCCTTCTCCTAGTTTAGTTGCAGAAGCAGTTATGGTTAAAGAAAAAAAGAAAAAAGTATTCATGCCAGACTGAGTGAACAATGGGAAATGATATTAGTTTAATAAATATTCAGACTCAGCTGCATTCTTGTAAGTGTAAACTTCCTTATACAGAGGAAGCCTACTTAGATATGCTTTAGCTATCCTAATTAACTACACTTTATCATCCATTAATGTTTGAAAGTGAATTGTAGATAAAGACAAGTTGCACCGATGCTATCTGGCATCTACTTTATTGATATGTTTATTTTGCAGTCCCATTTGGGACTGTATGAAAATTGATTTTTGTAGTAAGTTTAATTTCAGTAACATTTTATTGATGGTACTTGCAGGAAACCAAAGTCCTCACCGGGAAACATGAGAAAAGAATGAGCTTCTTGAATCAGCTGAGCTGTCATCCTGTAATGGACTGACTCAAAGGGAATGGGATGCCTACAAAATAGAAGGGTTTGAAGTCACAAAGCAACTGACAAGTGAGGACAAAGCTGGTGAAGCTTGATCACACACAACCCTGTGGCTTCAAATGTACTTTTTACTTTTCTTCCATGTCTGTTCTGCTCTTTTTGGATAGGGGGCTGGTGAGACATGTGCAAATATACCTTACAAATGACAGAATTATTTTCCAGAGGAAAAAATATATTCTAAAACAGTCTTAGTCAAACCTCCCCCAGCTCCAAGTCAGACCCACCTCTGGCCAGGGCCAAGCCAATTAGCAATGGTGGCCATGCCTCTGCAATAACGTATTTAAGAAGGGGAACCTGGGAAGAGGAATTGAAGTTGTGAGGGAAATACTTATGCAAACACCAAGGTCAGCTACAGAAAGGAATGGGGTGGGGGGGAAGCAGCACAGGAAGGTGTGACAGAGCAGACTCCCCTGCAGCCTGTTATGATAGGGCAGGCTGTCCCCCTGCAGCCCATGGAGGTCACCAGTGGAGCAGATGCCCACCTGCAGCCCATGGAGGACCCCATGCCAGCACAGGTGATTGCTCCCAAAGAAGGCCGGGACTATGAGGGAAGCCCCCACTGGAGCAGTTTGTCACTGGGAGGACTGCAATGCACAGGAGGGACCCACAATGGAGCAGTTCATGAAGAGCTGTAGCCCGTGGAAAGGACTCACATTGGAGGAAGTTTGTGGAGGTCTGCTGTGAAGGGGACCCTCCACTGGAGCAGGGGAAGAGTGTGCAGAGCGCTCCCCCTGAGGAGGAAGGAGCAGCAGGTGATGAAATGGCCACAATCCCCATCCCCCACGCTGATGCTGGGGGAAGAGATAGAGAAATCAGGAGCAAAGCTGAGCCCAGAAAGAAGAAAGGTGTGGGGGGAAGGTGTTTTTAAGATGTGGTTATATTGCTCACTGTCCAACTCTGTTTGACTGTTAAATTAGGTGGTGGTGTTGGTGGTGGTATTTAAATTAAATAGATGTTCTTTTTCTTGCCCTAAGGAGTCTGTCTTCTGCTCATGACCATAATGGGTGAGTCATCCCTCCCTATCCTTATCTCAACCCCTGAGCCTTTTGTTTTATTTTTCTCCTCCCCATCACTGAGTGGCTCTCAGTTGCCTTCTGGGCTCAAACCATGACATGTAAGTACATGCTATCAAAAATGTGAATGTGTTTTTTCTTCCTCTACACAGCATATTAAGACTCCAGGTGAGATACTGAACACAGTCCACATTGTAAAGTTCTTGATGCTACACACACAAAAAAATCAATTATATAGTGGGAAACATCTTCTAATGATAAAAGACAACATCATACTATAATAGGCTTGGAATGAGTTTATGAACCATCCTTGGAGGTTCTTGGGAACAGGCAGAACAAACATCAACACAAATGGATATATGTACTTGTCCTGTGTTTGAGTGAGGGTTGGGGTTTTTTGGTGGCAGGGGAGGGGGCTATCAGGGCAGCCCCCTCTGAGAAGCTTCTCAAAGCTCCCACAGCTCCATCAGCTCCACTTCTGTTTGGAAACTGAGCCAATCAGCTGTGCCTCTGCGATAACATATTTAAGAAGGGACGTGGTGACGGGCAGTTGGACTTGTGAGGAGGAGTTGCTGCAGCTGCGTGAACACCAAGGTCAGTGGAGGAACGGAGGAAGAAAGGAGGGGGGAGGTGTGCCGGAGCAGAGACCCCCTTGTATCCTGTGGTGAGATGGCAGGGCGGCCCCCCCCGCCACCCATGAAGATCTACGGTGGAACAGACATTGATTTATGGCCTGTGGCTTCTGCCTGGTTGATCAAGGTGCTGTGCCCGAAGAAGGCCGGGGTCTCATGGGAAAAGGTAGCCCCGCTGCTGTAATTCAGCGCTGGGAGGATTGCAGCATGCGGGGGAGTCCCACGCCGGAGCAGCTCGGGAAGGGCTGCAGCCGTGGGAGGGAATCCAGTCGGAGGAAGTTAGTGACCCATGACGGAGCAGTGTGGGGAACGCTGCGGCCCATGGGAGGAACTCATGTCAGAGAAAGTTGTGGAGGACTGTCTCCTGTGAGAGGGGTACCACGATGGAGCAGGGGGAAGAAGTTCCAGAAGCTCCCCCCACTGAAGATGGAGAAAGTGGCAGCGCTGACTGCACCCCCCATTCCCTGCCCCTGCGCCACTGGGGGAGGAGGGAGAGATATTGGGAGCAGAGCTGAGCCTGGGAAGAAGGGAGGGGTGGGGGGAGGTGTTCTCAAGATGTGGCAATGCTTCTCACTGTCCTACTCTGTTAAGTGTTGTTAGTGTCTGTAATAAATGTATGGGGCTTTTTTCCTTCCCCTAACGAGTCTGCCTTTTGCTCATGCCCATAAAGGGGGATTTTTTTCCCCATCCCAGTCCTATCTTGAACCCCAAGCCTGGCTCATTTGTCCCTTCTCATTACCAGAGGAGAAGGGGGAGAGAGTGGTTGCGTGGTGTTAAGCTGCCGACTAGGCTCAAACCATGACAGTACTATTGTTTGTATCCTCAGAGAGAAGGATGGATGAGATGGAACTATCCTAAGCAAAACCAATACCATAAAAGTTGGCACTTCAGAGTATTATTTTTCTACTAGAATCTACAGTTTAAGTCACCGGTCTTTTAAGAGTTTTCAAAGTCTTGTTCATAGAAAATAGAAACATTCACAATCTACTTAAAGTAACACACCCGAACACCACAAAACCTTTCCATGAGATTAAGCAGCTCTTCGGTTTGGAACTTCAAGAAATATTCTTTGAAAATCAGTACTGCTCACTTCGTACATGCTATCAGCCTGTGGGGAAAAAAGCTGAAAAACACAGGCTTTTCAGCCAGAAAAGTTTTGGTGTTAGATACGGGTCAAGAGACATGGGGCATTTCATGAGTAACAGCATAGAAATATCTAAAAATTAGGACTCAGTGCTAAAGAGCTAGGAAAAACTGTCATTCTAACTGCAAGCCACTAAAACAGCAATGGTCACAAAACCAAGATAGAATAGAAAAGCTCCACTGGCAGTTGACAGAAGCCATTGCTAATTGATGGTAGTAGTTCACAAACACACTGGAGCACTCAATCAGTAAAAAACAAACAAATAAAACAAAAAAAAAACGTGCAAAGATAAAACCATATCAAGGAATAAGAAAACTCTGACTTCTGACACAGACAAAAGATTGATGAATTCATGGAATAGTGATAAAAGCAGACTTGTTTTCTAATGAGATAAAGAGCATATAGATCTGAAACAGATAAAGTTTCCTCAGATACATAAAGACCAAGAATAAGGATATACAAGTTGCTGCTAACCTCAGAAACACACAGAAAACTGAAACAGAAAGGCTTGTTCTTAGGGCTGCTAAAAAGGAAGAGAAAAACTAACATACTTTACAAAGTGCTGAGCACGCAGCACTAGATTTATCCAAATGTGATTATGTTCACAGAACCCCTAGACCTTACAAGACCTAGGAAGTTCTGGAAGAGGAAATAAAATTTACAGTAAAGCAGCATGCAGAAGCAGCTTGGTTTGCTATGGTAATAAGTGCTTCCACTGAGGAAGCATAGACACTCTAATGGAAAGTGTGCCAAATCATAGAGATACAATGCTGGAAGAGAATAGTCACAAGGATTGACTCCACAGCCAGGCCTAAGGCCTGGAGTTCAGTATTTAATCTTTTTTTTAAGCCTGAAATAAATTTTGTCTGTGTTTTCCTTTATTATGCCATTTTCCTTCCTTCCTGAGTAATCCCTAAATCAGAGTACTGGAGATAAAGAAGGAAAAAAGCAAGACGACTCAGTTAAAGCCTCTCAGTCTACCTAGAAGAAAATCTGTCACATTAGTATAAAGGCACAACACCTATGTATTTTGAAATACTGAAACATTACTGCTTCCTTTATTTATTGCCAGAGGAGGGAAAAAGGAAAAACAGTATTAATATTCCAATTCTCATTGCACAACTTCACTTTGTGTTTGAAACATATGGCACTTTTGAAACTCAGTCCTGCATATGCTCAGAATTAGTAACTATCCTAAAATTTTGGAGTACCTGATCTTAGACTGCATATAAATCTCAAATGTCTGTCAGATTTATGAGTGACTAATCACACATTCTACAGCGGATTTAGTTGCTTATTTTAAGATTAATGACGCAGCAATGAATACAGAAAGCTGTGGATTATGAAGTGGAATTCACTTGATCCAATGCTGACTGTCTGTTTTATGTGTCAGTTATGTGGTTCAACCACAGTAATAAGATTACTAGATTAACAGGTAAAATTATGGAGATCTGCTAACTACATCTGAAGCCATGAAAAAATACAGAAGAGTTCTGAACTTCACATTTCCTTAGCACACTAAAAATATATTAAAGGCATCAAAGAACCTAAATCTCTGGGATTTCCTAAATCTCAGAGTAATTATCAGGCTCTCATCATACCGAACAAGGCAGAAGAAACAAACGTTGCAGCATCTGAACATTTGGTTCATCACGCATTTCTCCACTGAAAACAGAGCACCTGAATGAGGGCAAAATTAACCCCACAAAGCTGATGTACAGCACTCTTGGTGTAAAAAGGATAGTTTAAACATGGACTGGTTCTTCAGTTGATTGACTTTATGCTATTTTCTTAAATAGACTAAAATGATATTAAGTCTCTACTATACACGAAAAACTATATTAAACTATATAAAACTATGTATATTAAAGCCAATAGATATTATACTACTTAAACTCACAAATCTGTTAACACTGATGGTGAAATAAAGTTGGTTTTTAAAACAGTAAAATTATTTCTAAGTTAATGAATGGTCAAAGCTCATTTTCAACAACAGAGACACTTAAACCAGAAAAATGCAATATAGTAGGACCAAAATGCCTTAAGATAATCCTCCTCCTTTTTTTCTGTGGAAGTTTCTAGTAAATAATTCCATACTTTTAATATTGAAGCTAACAAAAAGATTTCACTTCAACATTTGACTTCTGGATTTAAAACAATTTCTCATTACAGATGTTGCAAAAGCCAAAATAGCAGGTATGTATCATCAGGTTTGAATAGGCACTTTGTTTTTCCTTTAGAAAAAAATACTTACACATCCACAAATAGTACATAATCTTTACTGTCTTCTGGAATTCTACAGGAATGTCTACAGAAAAGTCCTGGTAGAAACAAGGACCTACTGGAAAATTTTCAGGAAGAGGTGGCCAGTTATTTTTTCTACCTGCAAAACAAAACAAAACAAAACAAGATCTTTATAATACAGTTTTAATCTCTGTATACTAGAAGGAGATAGGCATTTGGATTTGTTCAAACTGTTTTATGCATTCGTTTCACAAGCATATGGATAACCTGGGCTACCAACACCCACAAGTTTTATCAGCAATCCTAACACAATACTGAAAATAAACTTCAGAAATAAAATATAATGAAGTACAAACAGATCAAGGAAAGTACAATATTTTATCTATGTAAAAGACTAAGCAGGCATCTGAGAGTTCCTGTAAGTAATGAGAAAAGAGAATTCTTCACAAAACAAGAAGATACAGGCCGAAAAACGATTTCTCAAAGTTACTTGGTTTTTAAATTTACATTTCCCTGAAGTCACGCTATACTTGCATACTTTGTTGAAGACAAAGACTGGGGACTGAAAAGCATTCTTCATTCTCAGAATCGTGATATTTTAACAGACTTCAACACTCTGAACTAGTTCCCATTATAGTTTACAGTCAAAGCTTTACCTGAAAGCCCATAAGCCTCAAGAAAGGCAGCTATTAAAATTGTCTAGACTACTTCTTTGTTACAAGAAGATGCCCTACAGCATCACTGTATTTTGATACACTTGTGTGACAGCGTGGGGACGCCACAAATGACACAGTATCAGACATCCAGATTTGCTGTATGCTGATCTACTCACAGGCTAGAGTATACATTCTGCCAAACACAAGTCATACCAACCACAGGCTCAAGAGATTCAACTGAGATAAATGCAAGAAACCTTCACCATAGCATTTCAAAGTCTGGATGCAAGAGATATATTAATTACCATGTTCCAAAAGTGGAGCTGAACTACAGACTAACCTAAAGGCACCATTATTTGAAATTCTGACAAGGTTTTGCTTACAATCTCTATCTTCAACCGTATCTTTACTAGCAGTTCATATCATAAGAACAGAAATCTTGCTAAGCTTACCTACTTGCATTATTTCTTGTTTTCCCACTCAGACAAGATTAAGGTGTCAGTTCTGTTCAAATGGGTCCAAAGCACTGAGTATCTTTTAAGTTTTTTGCCTCTTCTACTGAAATTTTTACCAAGCCTTTCAGAGCAGGGAATTGGCAGAGGGAGCATGCAAAAGGTCATCAAGTAATATTCCCATCCATATTAAAAACTACTTTCAGATTTATGTGAAAAATATCTGATAATAATTCAGATCTTCATTCTGCAGGATATGGTTATTTCTCTCAGGACTGACAGTTTCAAGACAGTTATGGAAAAATTCAGGTATCTTATAATAATTCAAGTTATTATTTAAGAATTGTATTTCAAGTGCTTTCCAGCTGCTGTAGTACAGATTTCAAAATTTTCAACTAAAACTGAACAACAGCTTGGTGAGATGGTTTGAGATCAAAAACCAAGCTGTCTTTTTCTAAATACACTTTGGATACTCATATTCCAAGACTGCATCCTGATAAGCGAAGAGCTAGCTCAGAGTTATTTCATTCAACACAAGTTACCACCTAAAGGCCTATTAATGTAACTTCAACGGCATGCTTACACTGTGACTGCAGATACCCTCCAACTAGCTTCATGCAAGCACAGAAAGGGATTTTCAGGCACGCCCAAATGAAATAACCGTAACAGGAAGCAGCACACTTTAATTAACTAAAATGGAATGCTGTGCAGGACCTGAGCAGAAAAGACTGAAGGCATCAAGCTGAGCTGAAGATCTTCGTATGGTAATCAATTGCGTGTGAGTGTTCTAGATGTGCAGCCAGCATCTTAAATTGAATGCAAATAGCTAAAGTATTGCAAAAGACCCTGTCCTCCAACGAAGACAACTCCACGGTGTTTCCAAAGGAGTTCAAATATGCACTTCATGATGTTCAACAAAGCCAAGTGCAAGGTCCTGCACATGGGTTGAGGCAATCTCATGCACAAATGCAGGATGGGCAATGAGTGGATTGGGAGCAGCCCGGTGGAGGACTTGGGGGTCTTGGCTGATTAAAAGCTCAACACGACAGAGCAATGTGTGCTCTCAGCCCATAAAGCCAACCGTATCCTGGGCTACATCAAGAGAAGTGTGGCCAGCAGGTGGAGGGAGGGGATTCTGCCACTCTACCCCCCATCTTGTGAGACCCCACCTGCAGTGCTGTGTCCAGATCTGGGGCCCCCAGCATAAGTGAGACATTGACCAGCTCAAGTGGGTCCAGAGTAGGGTCATGAAGATGATCAGGGGGCTGGAGCCCCTCCCCTACAAGGACAGGCTGAGAGAGTTGGGATTGTTCAGCCTGGAGAAGAGAAGACTCTGGGGAAGATCTTACAGCAGCCCTCCAGCACTTAAAAGGAACCTACAAGAAAGCTGGGGGGTACTTTTTACAAGGGCATGGAGTGATAGGACAAGGGGTAATGGTTTTAAACTGAAAGAGGGTAGATTTAGATGAGATAGAAGGAAGAAATTCTTTCCTGTGAGGGCAGTGAGACACTGGCACAGGTTGCCCAGAGAAGCTGTGGCTGCCCCCTCCCTGGAAGGGTTCAAGGCCAGGCTGGATGGGGCTTGGAGCAACCTGGTCTAGTGGACGGTGTCCCTGCCCATGGCAGGGGGGTCAGAGCTAGACAGTCTTTAAGGTCCCTTCCAACCCAGACCGTTCTATCAGTGCATGAAAGAAAAAAAAAAAAATCAAAAGAATATTTTTCTCCTCAGTCACAGTATACAGTTCCTGATTTGCAGCACCTTTTGCACAGTCATGTGGTAAAAAACCAGTATCTTCTTTTAAAATTTAAGAGCCCTCTCTTTGTTCAGTCTTCCTAAAGAATCGTTTAAATTCTTCATGGATTCTTCAAGCACTTTCATGTGAACAATTGCAACCTAGTAACACATACCAATTTTAGATATACCCTGAAACATGCATGGGGTAGAGTTACGTTCCCTAAGGATTAGATGAACTAAACTGTCACGTTCCTAAAGCCTGCAAGAGAAAAGTAATCAGACCAGACTATCAATATAAACTAGTGAAATTGGATGAAGGGCAATACATGCAGAAGGAAATAAAAAAAAAAAAAAAACCACACCAAAAAAAAAAAAAAAAAAGAAAGAAAAAATCATTATCTAGGAGAAAAGAAAGAGATTTAATAGAGAGCTTGAAAAAAACAAATACTGAGAAAATAAAAATGGTTTAATGAGGGGACAATATCACCATAAATTCTTTTTCTCAGAAGAAGAACAGCAATTCCCCATTCCTAGATCCTAGCAAATGACTGGCATATGACTACTCTCTGCCACTCCTTGAGGAGGCCAAGTGGAGAGGGAGGTGCTGATCTCTTCTCCCTGGGATCCAGTGACAGGAGGTGTGGGAATGGTTCAAAGCTGTTCCAGGGGAGGTTCAGACTGGACAACAGGAAGCATTTCTTTACCAAGAGGGTGGTCAGACATTGGAACAGGCTTCCTGGAGAGGTGGTCAATGCCCAAAGATTGTCAGTGTTAAACACGCATTTGGACAATGCCCTAAATAATATGCTTTAACTTTTGGTCAGCCCTGAATTGGTCAGGCGGTTTGACTAGATGATTGCTGTAGGTCCCTTCCAACTGAAAATACTCTATTCTACTCTACAAAATTCCCCGAGAATTTGAATTACTAAGCAATTCTGTAATCTGGAGTTGTACCACTTCATACTCAAAAAAACCAGCACATACGGAAATAAAAGTCAGAATTCTACATACAGGTGAAAAGACCACACAAAGTCAACTTTGCACACAGTGTTTTGGCTTGTTTTTTTTCTAACTTCAGTCTGAAGTTCTTCCTTTTGAAAAGGAATATTCCCACGGTTCTACTTCCAGCAAAGTATCTTCAACGTTCCCATACACGAACCTGATGGTTTTGCACAGCACACTTACAGTTTGTGGCAAAATGAGATACCGATCTTGACTATGGGTTCCGAAGTGTCATATAAAAAATTAATAAAAGATTAAAAATAGATTTTTCTGCTATTTGCATAGAATATTATGTTTGTAACATAGCAAAAGAAAATGTTTTGAAACAGGGAAGTTCTACAGCTATGAATACTGATAGAAGAGAAATCAAAGAGATATTACTCATGAAGTTACTTTTACTTCTTCTCAAAATGCACAGTTTCTATTAAATAGTATTACTTCCTAGAATAAAAATAAATGATAGTCCAGAGTAACATGTAACAGAATCCACATCTATAATTTTTACACCAAAAATCTGCACAGGACAGGACAGATTTTATTCACTGTATGCACTCTCTTATGGCGGATGAAACTTTCTTACCCTGAATAGATTGTAAAAGCCCCTCTTTGACCTGTTTCACAGCATCACTGTAAAACTAAAAGTTCCTACTAAAAAGTGAAAGTTCTGCAATTTAGAGTATTTTTTCATGCATACCCCCCTGCTGATTGAGACTCTGCATTTCTCTTTCTCTGCGATCTAGTTCAGCTGCTTTTCTTTCCAGTTCTTCTTGACGCTTTAGCAGTTCTGCCTGGGCCAAGGCATGCTCCTGTACAAAGTAAGCATCATTAAATATTGATAAAAAATATGAACGCAAAAAAAATATTCCAAGTTTGTTTTCTATAATTAAGCATCTCCAGTCACTGGTGAAGACGGACCTAATACTGCGCAAATTCATGCATTAACTGATTACTTAAGGCCAGTATTAATTTTCATTAAATCATTAGGAAAGTAATGCTTATTTATAAAAGACATTATTCTAGAAATGTATTTAAATAAATATAATTAAAAGGAATCTAGTGCCTGAAAGTTACAGACAAACCTTCGCAATCTGTGTGTAAGCAGGTGGTTCTTCTGTTGGTTTCATTATTGCTGGCTGGGTACTAGGTACATTAGGCATTTTCACATTTCCTGGAGGAGGCTAAGAAAACAAAAGACAATTATAGGGAAAGAGTTTCCTATTCTAATAAACATATTTTCATTAACTCCGTAAGAACCAATCTAGTTGTTTTAAACAAAGTGTTACTGATAAACTGAAAATCTGATATGGTGCCTGCAATATTTATAACCTCTAAGAAAAAGAAGTTAACTATATTCTGTGGTGCAGTGTTCTGTATATTTGGTTTTATACTGCACTACTTGCCATAAACACACATGCAAATTTAGGGATCGGTAGAAAGTAAATAGAAATCTAATTTTGTTCAGACATGAATATGAATAAGGACAATTACTGTATAAGAGAACTGCAGGATTTAACAGTGATCTATTCATATTCTGAAACACAATGTCATTTATTAGTAATGTCTTCCAGAGCGCTCTACTTAACAAAGGCTTGTATCACCTGGCTAACTAGAGAAGCAATGTACCATATTAAATTTTCCAATCCAAGATCCAGAACCTATTGCTTAACTATTCCACCAGTATGTACCACAGTATCTAGTTTCAAGTAACACTGGCAATTCATTCACTTGGTCACTACCTGTAAGAAGACATCTTACAAGAAGCTTTCAGTAGCTTAGGGTAGAATTTTTGTTTGTTTTGTTTTGTTTTTTAAATCCTCTCCTCCTTACTCTCATTTTTCATCTTCTCTGACTTTCTCCACCTCTCTTTATCATACACAACGTTAACCAGGAGCCATCAAACCAAGGAAAAAACTACTGTCTAGACTGAAATTATCAACTGAACTTTACCAAAGCAGACCTGTATAGCACTACTATGATGTTATTTTATTCTTAAATTTGCTTGGGGGAAACTACTTTCTGTAGTTTCTTTCTGCAATTCTTTCTGTAGAGTTTGCAACTGAAAGATTTCCCTGTCCTGTGATCTTGTAAGACAGACAACAACTTGTTTCTAACAAGAATGAAATAAATAACAAAAATACAGTGAGAAGTGTGATGTTTTCAATACAAAAGCACCTTAAAGCAAAGCCCAAATCAACTAAATACCACTAATATAGTAAATTATAACTTGTCCCAGATTATCTGCATCTTTTCTAACTATCTTTTGAAATACACAAATGCAATACACTTAAGGGAAAACACCAAGCCTGATTAAACTCCACCTCTGTGTGTGATACTATAGCATATGTCAGCAACACCAGCTGATTCCAGAATTTCAAAATTATCCTTCTACCTCATACATCAGCTCCTAACAGAATACTATTATATATATCAGAGCAGTCTCATTTCTCAGAAATGCTTGGTGATTTAAGCTTTTCATCCCAAGAAAGATTACTCAGTGCTATAAGATGAAGACAACCGAAGCCTAAGTGCCAGGTCCTGCACTTGGGTCACAACCCCATGCAATGCTTCAGGCTTGAAGAAGAGTGGCTGGAAAGATGACCGACAGAAAAGGACCTGTGGGTGTTGTTCAACAGCCAGCTGAGTATGAGCCAGCAGCACGCCTGGGTGGCCAAGAAAGCCAATGGCATCTTGGCTTGTATCAGAAACAGTGTGGCCAGCAGGACTAGGGAAGTGATGGTCCCCCTGTACTCTGCACTAGTGAGACCCCACCTTGAATCCTGTGTTTACTTTTGGGCCCCTCACTACAAGAAAGATATCGATGTGCTGGAGCATGTCCGAAGAAGAGCAACAAAGCCTGAAAGGAGGTTGTAGCGAGGTGGGTGTCAGTCTCTTCTCCCAAATAGCAAGTGATAGCACCAGAGGAAACAGCCTCAACTTGCACCAGGGGAGGTTTAGATTGGATATTAGTAAAGATTTCTTCAGTCACAGGGTTGTCAAGCACTGGAACAGGCTGCCCAGGGAAGTGGCTGAGTCACTATCCCTGGTGTGTGTGTGGCACTTAGGGACATGGTTTAGTGGTGGAATTGGTCGTGTTAGGTAAATGGTTGAAACTCAATGATCTTAAAGAGTTGTTTCTACCTAAGTGGTTCTCTGATTCTATGTAGATGGTTAAAGAAAGCTGATACTGCTATTCATTATGTTGGAGTGTTCTGTGATAGGGAGAAAGGCCTGTATGAGAACTCCTAACAAAACTAGACAATTGACATCTTCTGTTTCAAATATAAGACAGTAAACCTGCACCAGAGTAACAAAAAGTTACTGAAAAAAAACTCTTATGACTTATGCATTGTAGTCCAGAGCAATGTTACAAAAGCTTAAAAAAAAAATCTAATTATTGTAGCTCTATGACTAAAATAACAATAGCTTTGAAAACATAACTGAGAAGTAGCTCCCTGCTACACTAATGAGCAAGACTGTTCACAATCTCCAGCAAGAACTTCAGTAGCCCTCCCGTAAAACTATAAAAAGTAATAGTAATATTACCTGTAATAGTGTAAAATGGTGGATTGTCAGAAAATATTTGAACAATTAATTCAAAATACTTACCCTTGAAAGATACTTTGTCCAAACAACCTGCAGTACTGCTAATGACTGGAACATGCATATGTGCTCATGAATAAAGGAACCAATCAGAAAACTCACTAGAGCTACATAATTAAAGATGTTAGCCAACAGCATAGACTATATATCACACGAATACAAGGTACTAATTATGTACAAGATTCTTCCAATTCAGATTTCTATATTGTTTAGGTTCAACTATATGCTAGCTGGCCATCTGTATGGTGTTAGACTTGCTGTCTACTGTGGACGTAATGACAACTGTGTACAATACTCAGTGCCTAGGTAAGAACCTGTGTTCCCTGTAAGAAATGAGACTACACCAGTGATTTGTAGCAGGGGCTGCGCATCCTGGAATCCTAAGAAAGTCAAGAGTGGCTGGGGGACAAAAGCTGTTAAGGGATGCTACAAAGGCTACCACTTCCAGCAGACTCTGAGAAGACCTGGGGACTCCTCCTTTCCAGCTGCTGGAGCCCAGCCCAGCACACTCTGAGACACTGTGAGAGCTCTCCATTCCAGGTTGATGGAGACAGCTATTGCTTTTCTGTTTCCAGGTTCAGCTAATAGCAAGCTGAGTACATATCCCAGGGATGCACACAGATACATACACACCTGCACACACCAAGGACACTTGGATGGCCAGCTACTGCCTTTAACAACACTGCCACATAACACTATCAAAACTACATAGAACCTAGAACACAGAGTCATACCCCATCCCTTCTCTCCAGCTGATCAGCACCGAAGTTCACTACCAAAAGCACATGCCTCACTCTAGATTTACAAGCACACCAACAGTTGCCAATCCCTCAGATAGGAGCAGTGGGCCCTCAGCCTGTCTGATATACCTGCCCGGATCTGAAGCTCTCCTGCCTGGTATACAGGTTTCCTCCTGTTTGCCAGTTAGCCCAACCTGACATTCACTAGAAGATTCACGAACTCATACACTCATGTCACAAGCAACCTCCACGCTCACAGCTCAACACCAACCTCAAACACCAGCATGGGCTCTCAGCTTGTCATACATCCAAGTCCAGACCCTAGACTCCCTTACTCATTTTTGCTCAGATTTTGTGTCTTCCCAGTGAGAGGTTTTCCTCCTATTTGCCAACTAGTCCAGCTTGAAGTTTGCTAGTGAATTACACATACACACACAGAGGAAAATACACTGGTCCGTTCAGCTCTTGGCACCTCAAACACATGGGCCCTATGACCCATGGTCCCTCTGGCTGCTGACACCACAAACATATGGTCCATTTCTACTTGGGGTCTGACCATGTTGCTGGCACCTAAGTCTCACTCTGATCTCTCCAGCTGCTGCCACCTAGACTTTGTGGCACTCACAGATGTGGTAGAAAGTGAAATATCATAGAGAGATAGTTAAAAAGTGATTTAACAGTAACTAAAGTGATTAGAAACATGGATGTCAGACAAGTGTACTGACTGGTAGCAACTTACATGCCACCAGCCCTTTTTAATTCATACTTCACTCTAGTCTCCTCCTTGCTCCTTCCCAGTCTCTAACTGCTCCACATCTTTGACTATTTCACTTGTTGTAGTTTAACCCCCAACAGGGAGCTAAACACCATACAACTGCTCACTCAATCCCCCCACCACCCAGTGGAATGGGGGGAAAGAATCAGAAGAAAAAAAAGTTAAATTCATGGGTTGAGATAAAAACACTTTAATAGGACAGAAAAGGAAGGAAAAATAAAAATAAACTAATTAGAATATACAAAACAAGTGATGCACAATGCAGTTGCTCACCATCTGCCCACCGATGCCCAGGCAGTTCCTGAGCAGCAGCCCCTGGCCAGCTTTCCCCTCGTTTATATACTGAGCATGACTTCATATGGTATGGAATATCCCTTGGGGTCAGCTGTCCTGGCTGTGTCTTCCCCCAGCTTCTTGAGCACTCCAGCCTACTTGCTGGTGGGGTGGTGTGAAAAGCTGAAAAGTCCTTGATTTAGTGTAAACACTGCTTAGCAAAGACTGGAACATCAGTGTGTTATCAACATATTCTGATCCTAAATCCGAAACACAGCACTGTATCAGCTAGTAGGAAGAAAATTAACTCTATCCCAGCTGAAACCAGGACACTCCTAAATACTACTTAATAAATTTTGCATAGTCCCACAGACTTCCCTCAACTAACCATAATATTCAAGCTTATCTTGTTTCTATCTTCTTATCAGTTAAAAAGCCCCTAAATTAGTGGCTGATGAGTTTTGGTCTTCTGTTTTGTCTCTGTTATCTCTCCTTTATCAAGTCTGTGTTTCTGCCTTTGTTTACTGCTTTCCCTTTTGCTTACTACTCCCTTTAAACCGAAAAAGAGTCTATAATCTTGATCAAACAGATGCTCTCATATTCTACATATCCTTACAGTAACCAGTATGATCAACTTGATTATTTGGATCATCATGGAGGTTTGGATCCAAAAGGCTATCATAACTTCCACAAAGATGGTATGTGATTAAGAATCACACATACCTTTGGACACTGTAACAACACGACTGGGATTATGATCTTCATTCAGGCCTCAGGCCCTCAAAAACCA